TGAGCATCGACCTGTGAACCAGGAGGTCACAGTGTCAAGGCACAACCCCGGTTTCAGGCTCAATCCCCAGTGGGGGACATGCAGGAGGCAGCCGATCAATGATTCTCTCTCATCATTGATGTTTCTATCTCTCTCTCCCTCTCCCTTCCTCTCTGAAATCAATAAAAATGTATATGAAAAAATAAAATAAAAAATAAAGTCTCCATTTTATTACCAATGATCAGGCCTTTTAAGATGATGCTAGGAAAGCATTTCGCCTAAGCAGGGGCTTAGGGACAGAAAGCCCTACCCAGGGAGTTGCCCTGGCCCCTTCCCTCACTTGGTTTCGACTTTTTTAAAATTAAATTTTAGAGAAAGGAAGGGAGGCGAGAGGGAGAGAGATTTGTTGTTCCCCTTATTTATGCATTGATTGGTTGGTTGTTGTATGTGTCCTGATGGGGTATGCGTCAGGGAGTGGGGGGGGCGGTGATTGAACCCATAACCTTGGTGTATGGAGACTATGCTCTAACCAGGTGAGCTACCGGCCAGGTCCCTCCCCAACTTGCTCTGCTATCGCCCAGTTGACATTCCTAATACATTTGAAGGGGGGCTCCTATGTTCCACTTCGTTCCAGGCCCTGCAAAGTCTGTAGCCACCATGTGTGCAAGGCGTGTCTTTTAGTAAGGACCCAAACGCATGTCAGGGATGTTCTAAACTGCTCCCCCTTAGTATCCGAGGGTCCCCATTCCTGTCAGCCCTTTTAATCGGCTGAAGCTCTCCCCTGTCCCACACCTGGCTTTCTGCGTCTGATTCCTAAAGTAAAGACCGTAAGGTCAGCCCTAACCGGTTTGGCTCAGTGGATAGAGCGTCAGCCTGCGGACTGAAGGGTCCCAGGTTCGATTCTGGTCAAGGGCATGTACTTTGGTTGTGGGCACATCCCCAGTAGGGAGTGTGCAGGAGGCAGCTGATCGATGTTTCTATCCCTCTCCCTTCCTCTCTATAAAAAATCAATGAAATATATTTTTTTAAAAATATAAAAAAAGGCCATAAGGTCAGAGGGACACTGATTTCCAGAAAGGCCTTGCAGTGACCCTTCTATGTCCTTTGTCAGCTCCAGGAGGCCAGAGTCTAGCTCCCTCTGCCACAGGGTGACCCCTCCCCCGTCCCGGTCTTCCTGGCACTGAGGGTCCCCAGGATTCGGGACTTTCAGTGCTAAAAACAGAGACATCCTTGGCTGTGGGGCGCGGTTACGGTGTTTTGGCCAGGTAAACCCCGGCTAATGAAAGGACAGGGTCCTCTCATTGTGGGCACTGTCTCCTCATCAGGGAGCAGCTTCCCACCAAGACCCAGCTTTCATTCTCTTATCTGTCTTTCCTTAATCCTTTCACCACCCCCCCCACTCAGTTTACCTTTGGCCGCAACACTTGGCAAAGGAGAGCAAGTTGGTCACTTGCTTTTATAATTGCTTTTTTTTTCTTTTCTTGTTTTGTCTTTTCTTGGTTACAGCCAGTTCATAGTTGAGTTTTGTTTTAGTTTTGCAGTGAACTACTGGTTTTTCTACTGCAAATATTTTTTTCTCCACCAGCTTGCACTTGTTTTAACATTTTGGGGGCCCCTCCCCCGCCCCCAAAAAAGCCCTACTAGGGCTCAATCATGCTTGGGTCTCAGTTTCCCCTCTGGCTCCACCTCCTGGGTTTGCAAAGACGCTGAAGCGAGTTCTGTGCTCAGGGTGGTCCTGCGCCCACCAAGGCTGAGTTAGCTAATTCTTTTCGCACTTTCCGCTCCTTTTCGCTGCTCAAAAGGCCTCCTGGGTTCTAGGCAAATAGCAATGTCCTCTTGGCCGTAAGGTTTCACAGTTCTGTGTTTATATTTGAGTTTGACTGGGGCGGGGGGGTGGCTCAGACCCGACCAGGCAGCCTCACCCTCACGATGTCTCCACAGCATGACCAACGGCGGCAAGACCACACTGACCAACAACTTGCTCAAGGTGCTGCCCAACTGCTGCGTGATCCACCAGGACGACTTTTTCAAGGTGGCCGCCCTCACCTGGGGTCAGGAGGAGGCAGCCCAGGCCACCCTGTCCTCTGCTGCCCACTGTGGGCTGGGCACAGACCCCTCCCCCGTCAGGAGAGCAAGGGATGGGTGTTCTCACTTACTGAGCAGCTACTATGCACCTGGCCCGTTAGACTGGCAGTAGACTGATGGAGACGCTGCAGTTCCCACAGGGGGTGTGCCACCAGACCAGTGCCACGGTGGCCTTCCAGGCCCTTTCTCCCTCTGCACCTCCACTTTCCCATCTGCAAAATGGGCTGAGACCACCTCCATGCTTTCTGGAGGGGAGGGGTGATGAGGTGATGGATATAAGGTCTCCTCCCTCCTGGTCCCAAGAGTCATGAGGTGGGGGAGGGGCGTGTCCCAATGCCAGCCTGAACCCCACCCGGCACCTCAGAGCCTGTAAGCATCAACTGCAGAGGGTCGGGGCAGGCAGCCCCGCCAGGCCCTGGGCCCCTCACTGTGGGCTCTCCAGGAGCCGAGGGGCCCACCAAGATCCAGTCAGCCCAGGGTGGTGGTGAGGCGGGAAGGCGGGCACTGAGCCCGGGGTTCGGGCTCCTCTGTTTCAGCCCCAAGACCAAATCGCCGTTGGGGAGGACGGCTTCAAGCAGTGGGATGGTAAGGATGGCCGGCGGCCCCGCGCCCCCTGCCTGCCCTGTCCCCCCTTCCCCGACTCTGCCAACGCCGCTCTCCCTGCCCCCAGTTCTGGAGTCCCTGGACATGGAGGCCATGCTGAGCACCGTGCAGGCCTGGATGAGCAACCCCCGGAAGTTCGCCCGCGCCCACGGGGTCAGCGTCCAGCCGGACGCCTTGGACACCCACATCCTCATCCTGGAGGGCTTCCTGCTGTACAGCTACAAGTGAGTGGCGGCAGGTTCCCGCCCGGACACTCTGGGCCCTCCCAGGCATGGGGCTCAGCTCAGAGGGCCGGGGCAAAACCCCCACTTCTGGGGGAAACTGAGTCCTCCCTCTTGAGCTCAGCCCTCTCAGACCGAGCAGGGGGTTGGGCTGGACCCCTGACCTCACTGTGGGACCCCGGCCAAGACATAGCACCTCTGTTGGCCCATCCAAATCGGGGGCTGCTGCGGGGCGTTCCTGGGCCTAGCAGGAGACTGGCCGATGCTGGTCCCCTCCCTGACCCCCACACGAGCAGCCCAGACCCCAACGCACCCCAGCCGTCATCACCCAGACAAGTCCCCGGAGGCCGAGGCTGGGGGATGCGTGCCTCTGACCCCATGAAGGAAGCCCATAGCGCTGACCGTGTCCTCCACCCCTGCCAGGCCCCTGGTGGACTTATACAGCCGACGGTACTTCCTGACCGTCCCCTACGAAGAGTGCAAGTGGAGGAGGAGGTGAGCCGGGGGCCCCGTCTGGACTCCCCGGTGGGACCAGGAAACCACCAATGCCCCCTGGACGCAGGCCACCCTGAAACCACTTTGGCGGCCAGCAGGCACTGAGCTGCCCATGGTGTGTTCCAAAAGCCCCAGCCAGGGACCTGGAGGCATGGCCCACCTCGGCACTGTCCTAGGCATCTCCCAGGCTCAGGGGGTGGAACTGGCAGAAGCCGGAGCACCCAGACCCCAGCATGGCCCCTGACTCAATGGTACCATCCCTGAACAAGTTCACATCCCCCAGGCTCTGCTCATGGTACCGCCCTGGGCAACATGGGCATCACTCATTCTTGCCAATCTCTCTCCCCAGTACTCGAAGCTACACGGTCCCCGATCCCCCCGGCCTCTTTGATGGCCACGTGTGGCCCATGTACCAGAAGTATAAGCAGGAGATGGAAGCCAATGGCGTGGAAGTAGGTAAGGCCCTGAGTAGGATGAGTGAGGCCTGGCCCTGGGGGACCCTGAGCCCAGCCCCTCCCCATGGGGACCAGGTGGGAAACCTGGAAGTCCCTCCTCAAGTCTCACTGCCAATCCCTCTTGCTTTGGACCCCGGAGGCTGTTCTAGTCCAGCAGCCTGACTGCAGGTCGGGTTCCCCCTGACCCAGCCTGCCCGGCTCCCTGTGCGCCGGCCGCTGCGCCCTGACCACGGCCTTTCTGATTTCAGTGTACCTGGATGGCATGAAGTCCCGGGAGGAGCTCTTCCACCAGGTCCGGGAGGACATCCAGAACTCGCTCCTGAACCACTCCTAGTGGCTGGGGGATGAGGGGGGGCCCGACCCCGGACTGGAGAGGCACACATACAATTCCGGCCACAGTACGGCCAGGCTGGCGGCGTCCCAGCCAGATACCGCACGACCATTTTCCTTGGTGGATGTCTGTACATATGAGAGTGGAGGCCCCACTCACAGCCCAGCATCTCAGGGCCCTGGGATCCCGCCCTGAGATGCCTCTGTAACCTCACAGCAGCTTAAGTATTAAACCTGATCCTATTTTTTGTAACTGTTGGAGTTCAGCCTGTTATATTTGAGGTGCCAAAGAGAACCCTCCTGTCCCTTCTCCTTGCTTCCTTGGTGGCCTCTGGGGGTGGGGGGAGTCGGGGGGCGGGCACTGAGAGCTCTGGATGGTTAGCGCCACCTGTTGGACCCATACCAACATGACCCCAGGGGCTGCTCGGGGTTACTTGTGGCTTCAGTTTCCCCAAAGGGGAAATTTCCTACCAGCTTTCTTTTTAAAAAAAAAAATTGACAGTGTAGGCAGGCAGACTAGTGCAAGCTTCTTTGTGAAGCACAGTTTGTGTAAGAGGCCCCTGTGCAGGAAAAAAAAAAATTATTTCTTTTTTTCGGGGGGCCCTAGCCGGTTTGGCTCATTGGATAGAGTATCGGCCTGCTGACTGAAGGGTCCCAGGTTTGATTCTGGTGGTTGCGGGCTTGATCCCCAGTGGGGAGTGTTCAGGAAGCAGCCGATCAATGATTCTCTCATCATTGATGTTTCTGTCTCTCTCTCCCTCTCCTTTTCTCGCTGAAATCAATAAAAATATACTTTTTTTTTAAAAGACCCCGAATAGCTGCAGCAATCTTGAGAAAGAAAAACAAAGTTGGAGGAATCACAATACCAGATTTCAAGTTACACTACAAAGCCCCCATAATCAAAACAGCCTGGTAGCAGCACAAGAACAGGCAAGAACAGAGAACCCAGAAACCGACCCAAGGCATTATCCTCAATTAATATTTGACAAAGGAGGCAAGAACCTACAATGGAGTCAAGACCGTCTCTTCAATAAATGGTGCTGGGAAAATTGGACAGATACATGCAAAAAAATGAAACTAGACCACCAACTTACACCATACACAAGAATAAACTCAAAATGGATAAAAGACTTAAATGTAAGTTGTGAAACCATAAAAATCCTAGAAGATACCATAGGCAGCAAAATCTCAGACATCTCTCGTAGTAATATGTTTACAGATACATCTCGACCTAGGGCAAAAGAAACTAAGGAGAAAATAAACAAATGGGACTACAACAAACAAAAAGGGAGCCCACTGTATAGAAGAACATATTTGGCAATGATACATCTGGTAAAGGGTTAATATTCAAAATATATAAGTAACTCATACAACCTAACAAAAGGAAAACAAACCACCTAATTAAAAAAAAATGGGCAGCCGAAACCGGTTTGGCTCAGTGGATAGAGCGTCGGCTTGCGGACTGAAAGGTCCCAGGTTCGATTCCGGTCAAGGGCATGTACCTGGGTTGCGGGCACATCCCCAGTGGGAGATGTGCAGGAGGCAGCTGATCGATGTCTCTCTCTCATCGATGTTTCTAACTTTCTATCTCTCTCCCTTCCTCTCTGTAAAAAATCAATAAAATATATTTAAAATAAAAATAAAATAAAAAAATAAAAAGCTGTGGCACATTTATACCATGGAATACTATGCAGCAGTAAAAAAGAATCTCTTACCCTTGAGACAGCATGGAGGGACCTGGAGGGTATCGTGTTAAGTGAAATAAGTCAGTCAGAGAAAGACAAGCATCACATGGTCTCACTCAGATGTGAAACCTAAGTAACCAAATAAACCAATGAATGGAGTGGATCCAGAGACACGGAAGCATGGAATAGAGTGTGGAATCTCAGAAGGAA